GATTCTGCCCTAACTTTGTGTCACCAGCAGATCTGAGAGTCAGCACCCTTTCTGGGTGGCTCTATAACTAACAGCCAGTCTGCCTAATTGTATCTGTACCTGTTTATCTTCCCCACCAAGGGCCTGATGGAGGGCCTTGATCACCCTGAGTGGTGACATCAGGTCAGCTGCAGTTTTCTGTTGGACCAACTTGACAGTAATGTTTCGCAAGTAAATGAGCATGTGACCCAGCAATTCCAATCTTGGGTGTATACACAAGAAAAAAGAAATGTATGTCCAAACACTCACATACAAACGTTCAAAGCAGCACTGTTCAAAAGGTGGAAACAAGCAGATGTCCATCACCTGGTGCGGGGGATAAACAAAGTATGTTCTATTGATACGGTGGAATATTGTTGGGCAATCAAATGTCTGGAAGAGGCAAATTCATAGATACAGAAAGGCTAGTCGTTGCTACGGGGTAGGGGTGGCAAGAGGGGAACGGGGAATGACTGCTAATGGGTACCAGTTTCTTTTTAGGGTAATGCAGATGTTCTGGAGTTACATGGTAATGATGTTTGCACAACCTGAATATACTAACAACCAATTCACTGGATGATGGATTTTATGGTATGTGAATTACATCTCAGTAATGCTATCTTTTAAAAAAAAGTTTAAAAGGCCCAAGCGTAGTGGCTGATGCCTGTAATCCCAACACTTGGGGAGGCTAAGGCGAGTGGATTACCTGGTGTCGGGAATTCGGGACCAAGCTGACCAACATGGAGAAACCTTGTATCTACTAAAAATACAAAATTAGCCAGGCGTGGTAGCATGGGTTTGTAATCCCAGCTACTCGGGAGGCTGAGGCAGGAGACTAGTTTGAACCCGGGAAGCAGAGGTTGTGATGAGCTGAGATCGTGCCATTGCACTCCAGCCTGGGCAACAAGAGCAAAACTCCATCTCAAAACAAACAAACATACAAAAAAAAAAAAAAAAAAAAAAGCAGTTTAAGAAACAGATAAATGAGGTCCATCCCTGAGTCATTTTCAGGAACCCATGGAACTTGTTGCTTCTCTTCTTAACGTTCTCACAAACCATCCTTTGGCAACACTAGATCCTGGGCTGGCGATTCTGTGATTCACATCTCCGCCCACTTCTGGGAAACCCGGCAGCACCTTGCTTGTTTCCAGACCTGGGGCACCTGTGTCATCCTGCACAGTTCCTCCAAGCTCACCAACAGCCATCCAGCGATCTTGTCTGTGTCCTTTAATGCCTTGTAATGTCACTGCCAGCAAAGAGGCCTTGCTGAGCACAGCGCTGCTGGAGTAAGAAGTAGCCAGCTTACTGTTAAAGTCAGGGCATTGAGGAAAAAACAAGAAATAAAAATAGAAGCACCCACCAGAGGAAGGTGGTGAGTGCTAAGTCCTGGAGAAGAATGGACAATGGGTGCTGTTGGAGAGCCGAGGAGGAAGTGGGCAGCTCTCTGAGCTCCCGGGCACAGGAAGACCACAGAGGAGGGCAGGGAGGAGGTGGCTGGGTGGGAGGAATGGCACGAGTTGGCCTCTGCGGCTGGAGTGGAGCCTGTCAGGGATTCCTGGGCCTCCCCTCCAGCCTGACCTTGGGAACCTTAAATCCTGCCAGCCCACAGCACTAGATTCCTAGTTACCCACAGGCTACATTTCTTGGTGAGTAGTAGTTGTTCTCAATAATGGTGGGTTTTTGTTACCGAGGCCGTACTGGGGGGAGTGCAGACAAGTAATGAGTGTATGAGTCAGTTCTCCAACTGCTGTACAGAAAACCCTGCCAGGCGCGGTGGCTCACACCTGTAATCTCAGCACTTTGGGAGGCCTAGGCGGGCAGATCACAAGGTCAAGAATCCGAGACCAGTCTGGCCAACATAGTGAAACCATGTCTCAACTAAAAATACAAAAAAATTAGCTGGGCGTGGTGGTGTGCACCTGTAATCCCAGCTACTTGGGAGGCTGAGGCAGGAGAATCACAGGAACCCAGAAGGCAGATGTTGCAGTGAGCCGAGATTGCACCATTGCACTCCAGCCTGGGCGACTCTGTCTCAAAAAAAAAAAAAAAAAAAAAAAAGAAAGAAAGAAAAAGAAAGCAAAAACAAAACCTGAACCGGCTAATTTGTAAGAAAAGTGGTTTAGCTGAGTTCAGTGGCTCACACCTATAATCCCAGCACTTTGGGAGGCCAAGGAGGACAGATCATGAGGTCAAGAGATTGAGATTATCTTGGCCAACATGGTGAAACCCCGACTCTACTAAAAATACAAAAATTAGCTGGGTGTGGTGGCACATACCTGTAGTCCCAGCTACTTGGGAGGCTGAGGCAGGAGAATTGCTTGAACCCAGAAAGCGAAGATTTCAGTAAGCTGAGATCACACCACTGCACTCCAGCCTGGTGACAGAGCGAGACGCTGTCTCAAAAAAAAAGAAAAGTGGTTTAATCGGCTCATGTGCAGTTCTGCAGGCTCTACAGGAAGCATGGCAGCACCTGCTCGGGTCTGAGGAGACCTCAGGAAACTTACAGCCATGGCAGAAGGTGAAAGGGGAGCAGTACTTCACATGGCCAGAGCAGGAGCAAGACAGAGCAGGTGGGGAGGTGCTTTTGAACAACCAGATCTTGCAAGAACTCACTCACTATCACGAGAACAGCACCAAAGACATGGTGCTGACCCATTCATGAGAAATCCACCCCTTGATCCAACCACCTCCCACCAAGTCCCACCTCCGACATTGGGGACTACAATTCAGATGAAATTTGGTGGGGATGCGGGTCCAAACCATATCAGTGAGGAAGCCTGATTTATTTTTTAAAAATTTTTAAATTTGTATTTATTATTTATTTTTTAAGAGATGGGTTCGATGGGATGGAGGCAGCAAACCACATTGCCATGTATGTACCTATGCAACAATCCTGCATGTTCTGCACATGTACCCCAGAACCTAAAGTGCAATAATATATATGCATATATATAAAAAAGTGATGGGGTCTTGCTTCATTGCCCAGACTGGATGCAATCAAACTCCTGGACTCAAGCACCCATCCCACCCCAGTCTCCCAAGTAGCTGGAACTATGGGTAGACATGACACCATACCCACCCTAATTCATTTAATTTATTTAAAATTGTGGTAAAATGCACTAAACATACACTGACGAGACCAGGCGCGGTAGCTCACGCCCATAATCCTGATACTGGGAGGCTGAAGCAGGCAGATCACTTGAGGCCAGGTGCTTCAGACCAGCCTGGCCAACATGGTGAAACCCCATCTCTACTAAAAATACAAAAATTAGCTGGGCGTGGTGGCACATGCCTGTAATCCCAGCTACTTGGGGGGCTGAGGCATGAGAATCGCTTGAACCTGAGAGTTGGAGGTTGTGGTGAGCAGAGATCGCACTGCTGCACTCCAGCCTGAGCGGCAGAGCATGACTGTGTCTCAAATAAAGAAACAAAAAAAAATCCTGACCACTTTAACCATGTAAGTGCACACCATTAAGTACATTCACGTTACTGTGCTCCATCACCAATCACCACCATGCCCCTGTCCCCCAGCCCCTGGCAGCCACTCATCCACTTTCTGTCTCTATGAATTTGACTGCTCTAAGAACTTCACAAAAGCAGAACCATACAGGATTTGCCCTTTTGTGGCTGGCTTGTTTTACTTAGCAGAATGCCGTCAAGGTTCACCTGCGTGTTGGCATTCCTTTTTATTGCCAAATAATATTCCCTTGTATAAACATACCATATTCCATTGTATGGATATACCTCATTTTTTTTTTTTTTTTTTTTTTTTTGAGATGGAGGCTTGTTCTGTCACCAGGCTGGAAGGCGGTGGCATGATCTCAGCTCACTGCAATCTCTGCCTCCCAGGTTCAAGTGATTCTCCTGCCTCAGGCCCCTGAGTAGCTAGGATTACAGGCTCATGCCCTCATGCCCAGCTAATGTTTGTATTTTAGGAGATACAGGGTTTCACCATGTTTGCCAGGCTGGTCTATGAACTCTTGACCTCAGGTGATCCACCCACCTCGCCTCCTAAAGTGCTGAATTACAGGTGTGAGCCGCCGTGCCTGGCCGGATATACCCCATTTCGTTTCTCCTTTCATCTGTCCATGGACACTTCTGTTATTTCCACCTTTCAGCTGTAGTGAATTGATTTGTTTTTAAAGCAAGGTGTTCATTCCTGAGCAACAAGCAGTCTCTGGGTGGCCAGAAATGCTTGAAGGGAGAAGAGCCAGGGGTCCATGGGGAAATCCTGTAACGCGGGAAGTGGCTTGGAGAAAGCAGAGCACAGAGGGCTAAAGATGGCTGGGCCAGGAGGGGACAGGGCCGGTCCCCTACCTGGTGAGGTTGGGTTTGTTTCCTGGATGGAGCCTGGGGAGACGGTCAGCAGAGGGGCAGCCCTGTTAGAGGACAGAGCTGGAGCCCTCTCTGCAGATGTGGCTGTTCAGAGCTGGAGACAAGATGAGCGAACCAGAGGGAAATCATGAGCCAGACTCACGGCTGCACACGGGTGGGAAGCAACTTCCCGAGACCCGAGACGGAAGGCAGGCCGTTGGGAATGGGCGTGGGAGAGACACAGGGGCAGTGACCAGCAGGCGGCTCCTGGAATTGCCAGCCCTTTCCTGGGCGTCAGGGGCCAGCTTCTGCAGTACCTCTAGTGTCCAGCGTTAGGAAGAGGTGCTCACTTGATGTTTGTTGACTGAAACTGAGGGAGATAAAGGTAAACAAGGCATGTTTTTCACCCTCCAAAAACTTACGTATGGTTTAGTTGAGGAGATACAAGACATGAAAACCCATAGCTAGTACAAGATCCACTTTGAATCGTACTAAGTCCTAAGGTGCTCTGAGGAGAGAGGGGTCTCTTTGGAGCAGGTGACCCACATGGGCCTAGCAGAGCAGAGGTATTTGAGTCATTTTTCAATGAATGAAGCCAAAATACTTGCACGCTTGGGAGACTAACAAGTGTCCCTTTATCCTAGTCATGCATTCCTTTGACCCTGCAGGTATGACGCTGGGCAGGATGGCTTCATCGACCTGATGGAGCTGAAGCTGATGATGGAAAAGCTGGGGGCCCCCCAGACCCACCTGGGCCTGAAGAGCATGATCAAGGAGGTGGATGAGGACATCGATGGCAAGCTCAGCTTCCGGGAGGTACCCGCCTGTGGTGGCCCTGACCCCCTGTGGGGTGCCTCAAGTTTACAGTCTCCTGTGACACAAATGGGTTTGGCCTGTCTAGAGTGCTGTTTGCATAGCTAACCTACAATTCTGCTTTCAAAAATACCTTTTAGAAGACAGTAAACCCCAGCGCTGGCCTGGAAAAAGCAGCGTGGGCAGTATAACCCCACTTGAGTAAAATAGTAAGAAATTTGGAGGATGTTCACCAAAATATTCATAGTGGATTATATGGGGGCAAAATTTTGGTAGTTTTATAATGTTATGCTTTTTTAAATATATTCAAGCTTTTCATTTTTAAATGTATTTTAAAATTTTTTATTTTTAATTGTTATGCATACATAATAGTTGTATGTATATATTTACGGCGTACATGTGATATATTTTATTTATTTATTTTTATTATTATTTTTTCAGAGTCTCACTTTGTCACCCAGACTGGAGTGCAGTGGCGCAATCTCGGCCCACCCCAGTCTCCACCTCCTGGGTTCAAGTGATTCGTGCCTTAGCCTCCTAAGTAGCTGGAATTAGTGTACCACCAGGCCCAGCTAATTTCTGTGTTTTTAGTAGAGATGGGGTTTCGCCAGGTTGACCATGCTGGTCCCAAACTCCTGGCCTCAAGTGATCCTCCCACCTCAGCCTTCCAAAGTGCTGAGATTACAGGCATGAGATTACACCGAACCTGACCTACATATGATATCTCAATATAAGCATACAATGTGTAATGATGAAGTCAGGGAATCTGGGTATCCATCACCTCAAATATTTATCATTTCTTTATGTTAGAAACATTCCATTCCTTTTAGTTATTTTGAAATGACAATAATGCATCTTCTTCACTTATCGCCCAGGCTGGAGTGCAGTGGCTCAATCACGACTCACTGTAGCCTTGACCTTCTAGTCTCCATTGATCCTCCCACCTCAGCCTCCTGAGTTACTGGGACTTTAGGCACATAACACCACACCTGGCTAATTTTTTAAATTTTTTGTAGAGATGGGGTCTCACTATGTTGTCCAGGCTGGTCTCCAGCTCGGCCTCAAGCGATCCTCCTGCCTCTGCCCCCCAAAGTGGTGGGATTACAGATATGAGCCACCTTGCTCAGTTATTTAGAGAAAAATACTCCTTTTTATTTTCCTTCTTTTTTTTTTTTTTTTTTTTTTTTTTTTTTCAGACAGTCTCCCTCTGTCACCCAGGCTGGAATGCAATGGCACAATCTCGGCTCACTGCAACCTCCGCCTCCTGGGTTCAAGCGATTCTCCTGCCTCAGCTCCCCGAGTAGCTGGGATTACAGATGCATGCCACCACACCCCAATACTTTTCTGTATTTTTAGTAAAGACGGGGTTTCACCATGTTAGCCAGATGGTCACAATCTCTTGAAAGTGCTGGAATTATAGGTGTGAGCCACTGTGCCTGGCCTATTTTCATTTTTGTTGTTTGTTTGTTTGTTTATTTGAGACTGGGTTGCTCTGTTGCCCAGGCTAGAGTGCAGTGGCATGATCATAGCTCACTGCAGCCTCAAACTCCCAGTATCAACCCAACCTCCCACCTCAGCCTCCTGAGAGGCTGGAACTATAGACATGTGCCACCATACCCGGCTAATTTTAAAAACTTTTTGTAGAGACAGGGTCTTGCTATGTTGCCCAGGCTGGTCTCCAACTGAGCCGCCCAAAGTGCTGGAATTATAGGCACCAGCCACCTTGCCTAGCCACTTTTTATTTTTATAGCATGCAAAAATAGTTTATTTTTATTTTTAAAAAAATTTGTTGTTGTTTATAGAAACAGGGTCTCCCTTTGTTGCCCAGGCTGGTCTCAAACTCCTGGGTTCAAGCAATCCTCCTGCCTTGGCCTCCCAAAGTGTTGGGAGTATAGACCTGAGCCACTGTACCTACCCCCAAAATTGTTTTATTTTTATTTTATTTTATTTTATTTTTAATTTTTGAGACAAAGTATCACTCTGTCGGCAAAGCTGTAGCGCAGTGGTATGATCTTGGCTCACTGCAGCTTCTACCTCCTGGGTCCAAGTGATTCTTGTGCCTCAGCCCCCACCAAGTAGCTGGGATTATGTGTGTGCACCACTATTCCTGGCTAATTTTTGTATTTTTAGTAGCGACGGGGTTTCGCCATATTGCTCAGGCTAGTTGTGAACTCCTGAGCTCAAGCAGTCTGCCTGCCTCAGCCTCCCAAAGTGCTGGGATTACAGGCATGAGCCACTGCACCCAGCCATATTGTTTTTATTTTTTGAGACAGTCTCACTCTGTTGCCCAAGCTGGAGTACAGTGGTATAGTCTTACTTCACTGCAACCCTCACCTCTGAGGCTCAAGTGATTCTCCCACCTCAGCCTCCTGAGTAGCTGGACCATAGGCACATACCACCACACCTAGCTAATTTTTTCAAAAGTTGTCTTAAAAAGGGTCTTATTCTGTGCCTCTGGAGCCCCCTCACCAACAGTCCAAGAATGCGCTTGCTCTTTGAGCCTCTGAAATTGCAGGCAAAATTTTTAGTTACCGGCATCTCCCTGGGAAGAGTGCATATAGTATTCACAGCTGATCCCCAAATGGCTAAGAAACTCTGTGAAAAAGCCATTTCTATTTTAGGGACAATATCTCAAGACACTATTAGGTGTCTTCCATGGCAAGAATGCCACCCCACAGGGAAGGGAATTTCATGTGTTAGATGCATTTTTATGTTTTATCAGAAGGCCTCTAGATGTGTCATTTGGCACCTGTATTATAATAAGGGTTTTTTGGGGGTTTGTTTTGTTTTGTTTTTGAGACAGAGTCTTGCTCTGTTGCCCAGGCTGGAATGCAGTGGTATGATCTTGGCTCACTGCAACCTCTACCTCCTGGGTTAGCAATTCTCCTGCCTTAGCCTCCTGAGTAGCTGGGACTACAGGCCTGTGCCACCATGCCTGGCTAATTTTTGTAATTTCAGTAGAGATGGGGTTTCACCATGTTGCCCAGGCTGGTCTGGAACTCCTGGCCTCAAGTGATCCACCAGCTTCAGCCTCCCAAAGTACTGGGATTACAGGCGTGAGCCACTGTGCGTGGCCTATTATAATAATTTTGATGGTAATATCAGATTAAAGGCTCAGAGCCTTTCATCTGTTCTGTGATTTCACCCATTTGGCTCCTTCTGGGGCACTGACCCTTTCCAGCCTGGATACCCCTGGAGTGTAGAAAGCAGAGGCTCTTGCCCAGGGGAAGCTTTGGAGTAGATGCTGGGGAGATAGCTGTGGTGAGGTTGTGACCTGTGGGCACAGGAGCTAAGAGGATGTTTTGTGGCTTGCAATTGCCAAATGAACTCAGACACATTCTCCCCTCTGCCCTGTGTACTTGGGGGCCGTCCGCAGGTGCTCCTCCTGAATCCGTGATGCTTGGTCAGCTTCTGGCTAGCTGCTGGTTTGCAGCAGAGGTGGACATCAGAGGCTTGGAAATCACCAAAGGGTTCTTGTGATAGGTTTGCGCCCTGTTCCAGAGCTTCAGGGACATTCACATTCCACCCTTTGTCAGCTCCAAGCCCAGTCCCATCTCTAGTAGCTGCACCAGGAGTGCAGGACTTGGGAATGTAAAGGCATACTGCCATTCATACTTCCTTCTTCCTGTTTTTTTTTTTTTTTTTTTTGAGACGGAGCCTTTTTCTGTCACCAGGCTGGAGTGCAGTCGCATGATCTTGGCTCACTGCAACCTCTGCCTCCCAGGTTCAAGTGATTCTCCTGACTGAGCCTCCCAAGTAGCTGGGATTACAGGCACATGCCACCATGCCCAGCTAGTTTTTTTGTTTTTTTGTTTTTTTGTATTTTTAGTAGAGAAGGGGTTTCACCACGTTGGCCACGATGGTCTCAATCTCGACCTCTCATGATCCATCTGCCTTGGCATCCCAAAATGCTGGGATTACAGGCATGAGCCACCATGCCCGGCCACCATTCATGCTTTCCTGTTCCATTATTTCACTCTGCTGTTTTTCACCTCTGCTGTAGGGCTCTAGTGGGCTGGTGCTGTGCTCACAGACTGAAAAGAGCATGGACTCAGTCTGCCACGCACAGCTAGGTCCCCAGAGTGAGATCTTTTACTTCTGAGCCTCAGTTTTTGTGTCTTTAAAATAGCAGTGTGAATACCTCTCCCTCAGGACCATTATGAAAACTAAGTTCTTTTTCTGTGCCTTTTACAAGCTAGGAAGACATTCCTTACTGGAAACCGTATTTGTTGCCACCTTGGTCTTCACTTCCAGCTTCTGAAATGTGAGAAAGTACATTTCTGTTGTGTGAGCCACCCAGTCTGCGCAATTTTGTTCTGGCAGCCCCAGCAGACGACTACTGCAGCCCCGGCAACCCCAGCAGTGGCTCCCTGCAGACCTGGCTGTGCTGGGCTGCGTGCCTGCCTCATCGCGGCTGATTGGACCGTGGATGGACCCCTGGTCTGACCAGGCCGATCCAATTCCCTCTCTTGGGATTTTGAAATTGGGCCTGAAGTGCTGCGAATTGGCTCTGTAGATGTCTGTTCTTGGAAGGGTAATGCAATGTGAGGTGCCCACTTTCTATCATGCAGACCAGCAAGAGAGATGGAGGGGGAACTGCCGCCAGTCCTAACAGCCTTGCCTCTCCCAGTTCCAGTGCTCCCCCAGGCCACTACATTTTTTCCTTGCGTTTTTGAGACATCCGTTTTCTTTGCTTGATTTATTTATTTTGAGACAGAGTGGTGCTTTTGTTGCCCAGGCTGGAGTGCAGTGGTGCAGTCTCTGTTCACTGCAACCTTTGCCTCCCAGGTTCAAGCGATTCTCCTGCCTCAGACCCCCAGGTAGCTGGGATTGCACATGCACTACCACCTGGCTAATCTTGGTTGTTTGTTTGTTTGTTTGTTTGTTTGTTCGTTTGTTTTAGTAGAAACAGGGTTTCACCATGTTGGCTAGGCTGGTCTCGAACTCCTTACCTCAGGTGATCCACCTGCCTTGGCCTCCCAAAGTGCTGGGATTACAGGCGTAAGCACTGTACCTGGCCGAGACATCTATTTTAAATAATGAATACTTCCTTTTTGCTTAAGTGAACCAGTTTATTTCTGTCACTTGCAACCTAAGAGTTCTAACTAATACCGAGGGAGTGTTTGCATCACCCGCCACAGTCGCAAAGTTAAAAATTCCCTGAGCGTATCAGAAGCATCCATAGCTTGCATGTGAAAAGGTTTTTTAGCTTTGTTCATTCTGTGGCTGTCTCTTTGTTTTCTACCTCTCCTTCCCTCCCCCTCTTTCTGCAGAGTCACAGTTAGGACAGTTTCCAATTCTTCTACCACATGCCCGGCTTTGTGGACTATAAATAGGAAGACAAACAAGGCTGGGCAGTTGGAGAAATTGTCATTTAGAGCGGTTGGTGATTGTAATAAAATTAAATGGGACTGTCTGGCATGCTTCTTGGAAGGCTGGACACTTTCAGCTTGAGCCGGGTTTTTTTCTTTCTTTAACTGGCTGGAGTATGGGGGACCCCTGAGTTGGGACAGCGATGCTGCTGGTCACCTGCTGACCTGGCAGAGTGAGTGGATGCACTCTGGATCTGCCTCAGTCCTGAGGGTTCAGAGGAAACAGCTCTGGGGAAGGGACCCATGAGGAGAGCATTCCCTCACGTTTTCCAGTTCATGAAACCTGTCTGTGAACTGTCACCTCCACTCTGGATGTGAGAAGGCCAAGCCTCAGGGATAGAGAGAGTCTCTGAGGTCACCCCTGCGCTGGCTGGGGGTGGTGCTCCACCTTTTCTTTTTTTAAAAAAAATATTTTATTATTTTATTTTATTTTGAGGTGGAGTCTTGCTCTGTCGCCCAGGCTGGAATGCAGTGGCACAATCTTAGCTCACTGCAACCTCCACCTTCCAGATCCAAGCGATTCTTGTGCCTCAGCCTCCTGAGTAGCTGGGATTACAGGCGCATACCACCATGCCTGGCTAATTTTTGTATTTGTAGTAGAGACAAGGTTTTCACCATGTTGGCCAGGCTGGGCTCGAACTCCTGACCTCAAGTGGTCCACCCTTCTCAGCTTCCCAAAGTGCTGGGATTACAGGTGTGAGCCACTGCGCCCAGCCAGTGCTCCATCCTTTCATAGCTGCCTTTTTCTGAGCCCCAGAGAGCACTGGCCTTGTAGGGCTGCCTGTTCTGTTTGCCTCATGGAGGAAGACAATGGGGCCTTCTGTGGAGGAAATGCCTTAAGGATAGCAGGGCACAGTGACCAGTACGCCAGTCCCTCCCTGCACATGCCTCTTATCTGCAGCCCTGAAGTCTGCTGCTTTCATCTTTTCCACTCCTGTGTCCGCATCCCCTTGACCTCCAATCTATTCTTGGGGGACCTGGCCTCCTCTAAGGGGCCTGTTTTGTTTCAAGTCAGTGTTCAGGCTCTGATCATCCGCAGCAAGCTGAGTCTCTGCCGGCCTCTAGTGAGAGAGTTTGAAGCTGCAGGTGGATGGATGAACAGGGCTGACCGTCGGCCTCTCTGTGGACATCTTGCTCTGTCCCTTGCTTTGTATTTGACAATATCCACAGAGGCGTTAGGACCCTGCAGGGAGCAATGGAAGAGGGTGCGTTTTGGGGTTGCAATGGTTGATACTCTCAACTGCAAGAAACTCACTTCCGTCTAGGGATTGAGAGCCTTGGTGGTAACAGATACTCAAGTGGGGATTTGGAAGGCCTGTAGACATTGCTTAGTCTATCACTCTGCTTTAAGTAATGTTCTTTTCCCTTTTGAGAAGGCATTCCTTTAGGGAAGAGGGTCTTGAAGAAAGACCTGGAAACCTGAAATTTTCCTGTGGGTGCACACATTCTAGGTAGCACCTGAAAACCTGGATGATGACTTGGAACACGTCCGTTTATATTCTTTCCAAATGGAAAAATAAATCATGAAAGTTGGATAGCAGTTGTTTGATGAGTAAATCAATTAAAATTACTTAAAGAAGAGAACTAAAAAAGCCACAGATTTCCTTGGGAGAGGACAAGAAGATGGGAGGCCTGCCATTTAAGTTTGGCCAATTTATGGCTGGGCATGGTGGCTCATGCCTACAATCCCGGCACTTTGGGAGGCCAAGGTGGGTGGATTGCCTGAGCCCAAGAGTTCAAAACCAGCCTGGTCAGCATGGTGAAACCCCACCTCTACTAAAAATGCAAAAATTAGCCAAGCAGGGTGGCATGCACCTGTAATCCCAGCTACTTGGGAGGCTGAGGTGGGAGGCTCACTTAAACCTGGGAGGCAGAGGTTGCAGTGAGCCAAGATAGCATCACTGTACTCCAGCCTAGGCGACAGAGCGAGACTGTGTCTCAAAAAAAAAAAAAAAAAAAAAAAAAAAAGTTTGGCCAATTTATTTATTTAAAAATTTGTTCTTTGGAGGCCTGAAGATTAATTTATTCAGGTCACATTTTGCATCTGGAAGAGAAGGCTGGATTATTCAACAAATGATGCAAGGATTACTAACCAACCATTTGGAAGAAAATAAGGTTAATGAGTAATCTCACATGATAGATAAGAATAAATTTCAGAGATTAAATATTTACATGTTTAAAAAAAAGAAGCCATAAAAGTTGTAGACAAAACATAGGTGATTATTTATGTAACCTTGGTGCTGAGGAAGGTTTTTCTAAGCATAACACTTTATGTAAAATTTTTGAAAGTTGAAAATTATTATAAACATACTTAAAAGGCAAGTTACAGAGCTAAAGTATTTGAAATATACCAGGTTCTATGAAGATCTTTAACAAATGATAAGAAAGGTAGACAATCTAATGTAAAAATGAGACACACAAGATAAATGCAAGTGGTTAAAAAAACCATTGGAAATATTATTTAGTTTTTAAAAAATAGTATATATAGATTTTTTTTGATTTTTCTTTTGTCACTATAAACTAGGATGCTATTAATTTTTTACCTTTCATAGATAATGTTTAAACCATTGTAGGAATTTTTCTGAAGGATACATTTCCAGCAGTGGAATTAATGGTTGAAAGGGCAAAAAGCATCTTATTTTCAGTAAACATTTCTAAAGTACCCATCAGGGCCAGGCTCAGTGCCTCACACCTGTAATCTCAGCACTTTTAGGAGGCTGAGGCAGGAGGATCACTTAAGACCAGGACTTTGATACCAGCCTGGGCAACATAGGAGACCCTGTCTCTACAAATTAAAAAAAAAAAAAAATTAGCCAGGTGTGGTGGCAGGCACCTGTTGTCCCAACTATTCAGGAATCTAAGCCCAGGAGGCTGAGGTTGCAGTGAACTGTGATCGTATCATGGTACTCCAGAGTGAGACCCTGTCTCAAGAAAATAAATAAATAAAAGTTTGAGGGCCAGGCCCAGTGGCTTATGCCTGTAATCCCAGCACTTTGGGAGGCCAAGGCAGGTGGATCACCTGCGATCAGGAGTTGGAGACCAGCCTGGCCAACACGGTGGAACCCCATCTCTACTAAAAGTACAAAAATTAGCTGGGCATGGTGGCGTGCACCTGTAATCCCGGCTACTCAGGCGGCTGAGACAGAAGAATCACTCGAACCCAGAAGGTGGATGTTGCAGTGAGCCAAGATTGCACCACTGCCCTCCAGCCTGGGTGACAGAGTGAGACTCTATCTCAAAAAATAAAAGTAAAAAGTTCAAATCAGTTTACACTCTCAACAAATAAATATGAATGTGCCCATTTCCCTATATCCTTGGGGAAAAGGAGCATTTTTGGCAATCTGATAAGGGAAAAAAATAATTTGCCACATGCATACATAAAGACCTTTCTTAAGAGACTGGCAGAGTGACATCGGCTTGGGCCAGAGGGCTAGTTGTGAATCTCTCGGTGAGGCTGATTCTGGTTCCCCGCTTTTCCTTCCCCTGTAGTTTCTGCTCATTTTCCACAAGGCCGCGGCCGGGGAGCTGCAGGAGGACAGCGGGCTGATGGCGCTGGCAAAGCTCTCTGAGATTGATGTGGCCCTGGAGGGCGTCAAAGGTGCCAAGAACTTCTTTGAAGCCAAGGTAGGTGCTTCGTTCCTTCTGAGAGGAGCAACCACTCCCACCCTTCACCCTGCCCACCAGGCTGGGGCTGTCATTTTCATCTATACAGAGCACACCTGCAGAAACGGACCCGGAGGGTCCTCCAAGTCCCCTGCCAACTGGCACAGTGGGTGCCAGACCACCTGAGTTCAGACTCTGCCTCCTGCCTCTCCCTACCCTGTCCACTCTGAGCCCGTGTCTTCATCTGTATGATGGAGGGGTGACAATAGAATTGCCTGAAGGATTCAATGAGTTCACGTATGTAAAAGTGTTTATCAAGTGCCTGGCTCACTGTGAGCCCTTCACAGTCGTATGGGCTGCTGGGACTCTTGTGGAGTTTTGTTTTAGTTTATTCTGGGAGCTTGCCGAGAGGCAGAGTGTCCTTGGTGACACATCCTGGCCTGGCCAGGCCCCTAAACAGGACTCTAAATTCTCACTTCTCTTTGATGCTGCTTGGAGACAGATTTCATCATCTCTCTGCCATGCTGAAAGCCTAGTGCTCTCATCTGACAGGGTCAGGGACAGGCCAACTGCTCATTGTGCCTTAAACACTGGCATCACGTATCCAATCCTGAAAGTGGTTTGGCCCTTCCTTCCTGACTTAGCATTGATTCAGCCCATCTCCGGCAAAGCCAGGCATCGCACTGAGTTCGAAGATACAACTCCTTTCTAAGGGTGAAGTGGACCTAACTGCTGCCCTTCCCAGGGTACACACATAGTCCAGTGAAGAAAGCAAGCTCCACGATGATACAGAGAGCACAGGGAGGAGGGAAGGGTTATTTTGCAGGGATGGGTCTTCTCCATCCATTGAGTGTATAAGTGTATAACATGAAGATGTCTTTCTTTTCTTTTCTTTTCTTTTTTTTTTTTTTTTTTTTGAGATGGAGTCTTGCTGTGTGGCCCAGGCTGGAGTACAGTGGTGCGATCTTGGCTCACTGCAATCTCTGCCTACTGGGTTCAAGCAATTCTCCTACCTCAGCCTCCCGAGCAGCTAAGACCACAGGTATGTACCACCATGCCCAGCTGATTTGTTGTATTTTTAGTAGAGACAAGGGTTTGCCATATTGGCCAGGCTGGTCTCGAACTCCCGACCTCATGGTCCAACCATCTCTGCCTCCCAAAGTGCTGGGATTACAGGCATGAGCCACTGCGCCCAGCCGCAGGTGTCTTATAATGCCTTGGGAAAAGTACTAGGGTTAAGAGCCCGAGCTTAGCAGGACACTTTTTTCAGTCCACTGCTACAGCGCAAGGTGGTACATGTGCTAGTTGAAGAAGGTCTAAGTGTCTGGGAATGTCTTATCTGGGCATTCAAGACCTGTTATAATCTGGCTCGGATCCCTGCTTCCGCCTCATCCACCCCCTTCAAATGCTGCCATGGCTTTCCCAACCTGATCTGCTGTTCCCTCTGCCTTGAAAACTCTGCTTCTTCATCCAGACCCACATTGAAGAGTTCCCTCCCATGGGCTGCTTCCCACACATCCTCTTCTGTGCACCTCTAGTACATGTAGAAGTGGTGTTATAATTTATCTTTTTTTGTTTTTTGAGATGGAGTTTTGCTCTTGTTGCCCAGGCTGGAGTACAATGGAGCAATCTTGGCTTACTACAGCCTCCACCTCCCAGGTTCAAGCAATTCTGCCTCAGCCTCCTGAGTAGCTGGGATTACAGGCATGCACCACCACACCCAGCAAATTTTGTATTTTTAGTAGAGATGAGGTTTCTCCATGTTGGTCAGGGTGGTCTCAAACTCCCAACCTCAGGTGATCCACCTGCCTCAGCCTCCCAAAGTGCTGGGATTACAGGTGTGAGGCACCACACCCGGCCTATAATTTTATCTTTTCTTTTTTTGAGATGGAGTCTCACTCTGTTGCCCAGGCTGGAGTGCAGTGGTGTGATCTCTGCTTGCTGCAACCTCTGTCTCCTGGGTTCGAGTGATTCTTCTGCCTCAGGCTCCCAAGTAGCTGGGACTACAGGTGTGTACCAACATACCTGGCTAATTTTTGTAATTTTTAAAGTAGAGATGGGGTTTTACCATATTGGCCAGGCTAGTCTCGAACTCCTGATCTTGTGATCTGCCCACCTCAGCCTCTCAAAGTGCTGGGATTACAGGTGTGAGCCACTGTGCCCAGCCATAATTTATCTTTTCAAGCACTCTTAGATGCTTTTGGTAAAAATATAAATTGACCCAACTTTTTATTTTCTATTTTTTGAGATGGAGTCTTGCTCTGCTGCCCCAGCTGGAGTGCAGTGGCAGGATCTTGGCTCACTGCAACTTTGACCCAACTTTTCATAGAGCAGTTTGGAGCTAACTGTTCACATTTTATATTTTTCCCTTCCGGAATTCTACCTCTTAAGACTTCTTCTTTTTTTTTTTTTTTTTTAGACAGAATCTTGCTCTGTCACCCAGACTGGAGTGCAGTGGCATGATCTCGGCTCGCTGCAACCTCTTCCCAGGTTCAAGAGATTCTCCTGCCTCAGCCTCCTGAGTAACTGGGACTACAGGTGTGTGCCACCATGCCCAGCTAATTTTTTAGTAGAGACAGTGTTTTACCATATTGGCCAGGCTGGTCTTGAACTCCTGACCTCATGATCCACCTGCCTTGGCCTCCCAAAATGCTAGGATTACAGGTGTGAGCCACCACACCCATGCAAATACACACAGATGTATGGACAAGGATTTTCATACAGTATTGCTGGTAATAGAGAAAAATTAGAAATAACCAAAACTTCCATTATCAGGGAAGTGAGTCCATGGTAATATACCCACACGTATGCACACTCTGCAGGTATCAAAAGATGAGATGCAGCTGCGTGTCTGTATGTACAGATGTCCAGAATAAATGAAGCAAGACAATATGCTGGAAACCTAATTCTGTAAATATGAAATTCAACCTGGATAATTATATGCCAAAGTATCAGTAATGGTTTTGTCTGAGGGATTTATTTTATACTTTCCGTCATGTTTTACAGTGAATGCGCATTATTTTTATAATTGGGGAAAAGATGAAAAGAATGACAATAACAATGTTTGCAACTCGTTATGTTTATAGGTCTGCCTCCTCACCCAGACTCAAAGGCAGAGTAGGTGTGATATCTTCGTAATTACAGTGCCTGGTATATAATGGCCCTCAATAAATGTTTGTGTGAATGACAAATGGGGGGCATGTCACTGGGATTTGGGAGAGGGCCATAAAGGAGCTGCTATTTGTGACAGATGTTCCGAGATGAATGGGGACTCACCTTGTAATCAAGGACAGGAGGGCTTTGTGATCGTGGGAACAGCAAGAGGAAGACTCCACAGCATGGAGGGTGAGGCGTGTTTGGACGCTGGAGAGGTGTGAAGCTGTGAGGATACAAGATGTGTGAGGCAGCAGGGCTGCTGACGTGGCTGGAGGTGGAAGCCAAAATGAAAATATGGTGACCCCCAGCCTGGCCAACATGGTGAAATCCCGTCTCCATGAAAAATACAAAAATTAGCTGGATATGGTGGCACACATCTGTAATCCCAGCTAGTTGGAAAGCTGAGGCAGGAGAATTGCCTGAACCTGGGAGGCGGAGGCTGCAGTGAGTCAAGATTGTGCCATTGCATTCCAGCCTGGGCGACAAAGTGACTCCACCTCAAAAAGAAAGAGAGAGAGAGAGAGAGAGAGAGGGAGAGAGGGAGACAGAGAGAGGGAGAGAGGGAGAGAGGGAGGGAGAGAGAGAGAGAGAGAGAGAGAGAGAGAGAGAGAGAGAGAGAAAATATGGGGAAGGAAGGAAGGAAAGAAGGAAATATGGTAATCAGGGACTGGGCCAGCACTTGCCAGCCATGTGGTCCATGACTCTGAGTTGGGATGGCTCCCAGCCACACTCAACACCACTGGACAGAGAGTTCCAGCCTCCCCAAGGTCAAGGGGAGCCCTTCTCTGGGCACCTCATTGAGAAGGTCAGACCTTCCCCAGATCTCTGAGTGTCAGAACCACCTGCACACCAGCTTCCCAGACCCACCCTCATTCACCTGGGATTTCTTCAAGGTGGGTTGCGAGAAACGTGTAGGTGATGGAGCTGTCACATGATTCCATGCACAGCCGCAGGGTCTGGGGAGGTGTTTGAACAGAGTCTTCACATGATTGGGGTGGGCACTATGAGGATGGACTTGCCTGGGGACAGGTTAGACTCAGGGAAGTTTTCACAGATGTCTTGAGAAGAATCGTGGGTCCAATACAGGTAGTGACAACCGGACTAGGGAGGAGGAGGGGACAAATTGAGAGCTCTCTAGAAGTTTCAGTGTTCATGACCACTCAATTGGAAGTGGGAGGTAAGTGCCATGAGGTTTGTAAGGAGGGGATATTTTTTCATCAAGACCAGCCTCCAGGGCCGAGGGCAGTGGCTCATGTCTGTAATCCCAGCACTTTGGGAGGCTGAGGCAGGAGGATCACTTGAAGTCAGGAGTTCAAGACCAGCTTGGCCAACATGGTAAAAACCCTGTCTCTATTAAAAATGCAAAAATTAGATGAGCATGGTGGCACTGTGCCTGTAATCCTGGCTGGAGCATCACTTGAGCCCAGAGGCAGAGGTTGCAGTGAGCTGAGATCATACCATTGCACTCCAGCCTGGGTGACAGAGGAAGACTGTGTCTTAAAAAAAAAAAATCGGCCTCCTCATATTCCAGAATGGCTGTGGTTGAAGAGGAAAACTTATGAACCGGGTTTTGGTGTCGAGTGTGAGGTGACTTCAGGCACAGGAAAGGCATGCCCCTTCATTTGAAGGCCATAATGATGTTAGTTGCACATAGTTTCTGATCACGCCCTGTTTGACAGAACCTGGTAACTCCTGACTGCATGGGAAGCTAGGGACTGGCTTTTTTTCTGGGATCTGTCTGCCTGGCTGTAATTATGCCAATAGGGAAGATGAAGATCCTGCATGTTGAGGGTCATGGAGTAATTTCTTTTTTTTTTGAGACGGAGTTTCGCTCTTGTTACCCAGGCTGGAGTGCAATGGCCCGA